AACTGAAGCCAGAGGGACTTCAGTGGGGTCGAAAAGCTCACTCACAGCTGCAATGACTCCTGAATCTTAAGACTGGTTTCTTTGAAGAACTTTCTGTGTCCCTGGGCTCTCGTAAGTCTGTGTGGTATCTTCTACTTAGGTTTGAAAATGTCCTTAAAGAGGTTTTCTTTTCTTCCCACCAGGATCAAAAACTAACAAAAGAGGAGGTTTTAGACAACTGGAATATGTTTGTTGGAAGTCAAGCTACTAATTATGGGGAAGACCTCACAAGAAACCATGATGAACTATGATATAAGTATACCAAGCAGCATGCCACAGGCCTTTTCTCCATTTTACTGAATCTACCATGTCCATCCCCTTTTTGGGGAGGATGGACAAGGGACACACACAAAACTGAATGACTTGCATATATTTTTAACATGGCAGTTTATTACCTCAGAAACTACGTAGAAATAGGGTTGTTTTTTTTTAACTTTCTTCACAAGGTTAAATGCTATATCTAATTATACAGTTCTGTTTTGGGGAAAAAATGGTAATGTTTCTTAGTAGGTTAGATCTGGGAAAGGCACTTACAACGTAACTCCAAGGATCTTCAATAATAACAGGTTTTCTTCAAATGCCCATTTTTATCATAGTAAAATGCAGCTACGATTAGTAAGAAAGAAACCTACTTTTCCAGTAGTCTAAGTTGTTTAGTCATCATTTCTAATAGCGTTTGAAATCATAGAATGCCTTAAGTTGGAAGGGACCTTGAAGATCATCTAGCTCTTAATTCCCTGTTGTGGGATGATTGCCACCCATCAAATAAGGCTGCCCAGGGCCCTATCCAGCCTAGTCTTGAATGCCTTCAGGGATCAGGCACCCTGAACTTGTCTGTTCTTACAGTTTCACCCTCCTGTACAGAGGTCTGACAAGATCCACAACCTTTTTGTCCACGCTGCATTTTTCTCTCTAAGTTGGGCTGAAGGAGATACCAGCAGACCCATGGATCATAGCTTTACAAGTGCATCGTGTGCAATTGGCCCTTCTCTCTAAGTCCCACTGAAGTGCAGAAGCAACACATGGCCCAACAGCCATGCTGGCATTCCTCAGCAAGGGTTGTGGAGTTCAGACTGACAGCTGTTCCTTCTGACAACAGAATAACATACATTGTTTGTGTGCTGTAAGTTATGCTGTTTCCTGGAAGGAATTATGCCACATGGAGCATAATTTATCTCACGCTTTTCACGCTTTACCCAAGCCATGCTCTTGTTCACACAGTGTGAATGGCAGCAGCTCCATGATGGAGAAAGAATGAGACATATCACCCCTCTGGGCCTTCTGTTTTCTGTACTACAGACGGGGACAGATCATGTGGCTGAAGTTCTGGTTTGTATGTATGTACGTATAAATAAGTGTTACTGAAGCAACTACATGGAGACAGCTTTCCTTCCAAAGAAAGGAATGAGCTTTCCACACAGGTGCTTTCTTTTTTTACTGTATAATGTGAGCAGTAACATGTATATTTTTATATACTTAACTCTGATAAGTTTGGTTGATTTTAAATATATAATTTTTAAAACAAGCACAGTAAAACCATAACTTTTTGATACCATGAAGGTGCAATAACACTAATACAGACAGACTAGCATAGAGAGATGATGTGATGCTTCTTATGCCAAGAGTTCAGCCTGCAGCACTGGCTGGTCATCTACAAACAGCAGCTGGATGTATGGCACCAACTTTTTCTTCTTTGCATCATTAAAAAAAGCAAGAAATAAGTCAAGTGTATATTTTTAGTATTGCTAGAACCTGTTCTGAATGCTAAGGTCACGTAAGAACAGTGCTAAATACTTCCAGTTGAAGATAGCTCAGTATTACACACACTGGCAGGGATTACTTGCCTTTGCTAACTTTATTATTAAGCTTTTAGCATGCACCTACAACATTGCCAGCAAGGTCTCCTAAAAGTCCCTACCTCTTCTGCTAACATAGAGTAGGACAGATGTCATAAGACATAAACGGTTTTTGCTTTCCCAGTAATTCCATGTCAAAGTAATGCCTAAATGCAATGTTACCTGAGAAGCAATAAAATTGTATCTTGGCACACATAAAAAAATTATCTGTATGGTTTATTATTTGGGTTTGGAAAGGTTTGCTGTATTGCATCGTCCTAACAACCTTGATAACTGCTGTTTTCTAGCAGCCCTTTCATACTAAAGTTTGAGATTTTTATATTTTAGTACAGAGATTTTATATTTTAGTCCAGAATTGCTGTGCTCTCTCTGCACTTGGATCATCTTCTGCTGTTTCAGGAAACAATACCTTAAGAGACCACAGTAAAAAAGCTTGTATCCTGCTACTGAAACTGCAGCTCAGACTAGATAGGAAGCCAAGGGTTTTCACTGGAGCCCAAGGGAAGGTTGTTTGGTAACTCTTGTTGAAATTCAGTGGGAGCTGGGTGCTGAGACACTAAGCATCATTGCCTGCAGCTAAACATGACACTTCCAAATCCACTGCATTCTGCCCCAACAAAAAAAACTGCATCTGAGCTTTGACAAGCAATCACATTTTCTTCTACATTACTCAATGAATTTGGAATAAAATTAGCATCAAATGAGAGATTATATTCCTTTATTTGTTCTCAATTTCTGTTAATGCTTGGGATACACTGGGTATTTTCCAGTATGAAATAATGCAAGAAGAGTGGTACTCAGAATGTGCCCAGCTACGATTAAGGCAAACATGCCAGTTAAAATGAAATTCAAGCCAATCAAGTTATCAATCATTTTAAGTATAATGGAGTCACACTAAGAGCATTTTTATAAAACAGAATACAAAAACATATTTTAGAGAACATATCATTGATGTGATTTCATTCTAAAGGCAACCTCCTTCTGTAGCTCGTAGTGTTTCACTTACCAACCTTCAGCAACGTGCAGTATATTTTGTGCACTAAATCTTCCTTTCAAGCTCAATGCACTGTGGAAGAGTAACTCCAAAAGAGACTAGAGCTTCTGGGTTTAAATTTAACACTATTTAAGGAAAGCAAACCTTTGCTAGGGGATATAACTGTTAACATTGTGATTTTTCAAGCCTAAGGTTTCTAATGGGGTTTGACTGTTCCAGAGATAAGATTTTTTTTTCCTAGGTAACATATTTCAAGTCATATTATGAGCAAATGTTACAAAATTTTAGTGTAATGTGAAATACTGTAATGTCAGATAGCATTATTTATCTGCTTAATATGACTAAACCCATTAATTGCTGGGAGCCATGCTTCATCCCAGCAACATGAAAATTCATTTTGTGCCTATCTTGTCAGTTATTGCCAATTTTCTTAATGAATAGTGACGTAGTGAAATTCTGTCGGGAAATATGTTTATGTATTTCCAACTGCAGGTTCTGTGTGCTAACTTCCTGTTACACAGATCCTCCATTACCTACGTGTTTTCATTATGCCTATGCCACACCATATCAAAGGTGCATTTTTCCTCCTTATGTATCTGGAAAGCCATTATTATTGCACATGCAGTTTTAATTATTAGAATTTATGGAATGAACTAAGTGGCTAATGTGCATTGTCTTATATTTCCATTCAATGATTCAATCGAGTTAAATCTGTCTCCCATTCCAATCGAGGTACTTTACATAACTCCCTGTGGAATGGAGAATGCAGCTCATCCTTATCCTATTACTTTTACACAAGTATCTTAAAATAGTCGCATAATGATTTACTGTCGCAATACAGAAGTCAGTCTGGATCCCAGTGAACTTAACAGCAGAACCCCTTGACCCTGTGCAGAGGGACAAAGGCCTCAGCCACATAAAAGCAAGCACAGTTACAATGGGGTGGATGGTGGGACTTGAGGTTCCAAGAAATTTGATGACCATCAGCTCCCAATCCCCATCTTACTACTGAACAATAATGCTAGGATTTTAGGTTGATTCATTCTCACGTAAGGTATTCAGGGCATAAGCCTGTTTCAAGGAGGACAGTGTCTAATGGTCTGTTCAAATACATTTATCCCTTCTACTGAGTGATGATATCTCTCTTAGACAGCTGATTACCATTAGCATATGTGACCATTGGCACATGTAACTTGTTTTGCAGGGTGGCAGAAGAGGCCACATGAAACATTTCAAAGCCAAAGATGTTGCAAAGCCTGGCATGGTCCGTAGTCAAATTCTTGGAACTAATAAGCCATACCTGTCTCTAATTTAGGATGCTATGTTCCATTTAATATGCCCAGCAAGGAACACATAAACCAAAGTTACTAAGATTCAAAGAAATAAAATTAGGCTCACATTTAATTTACAGGTACTAACGAGGCCCATCACATCCAAGTGCTATGTAGATTCCAAACCTGATGATTTTCAAAGCAGAAGAGAAAGAAAAGGTACCACCTTTCCCATAGTGTGCAGGTATATAAGGGACTTAGATGCACGTGACACAGCAAAGGCAGCTTCCCAGTTGCATTCTATCTCTTCATAGGATGAGATAAAATTTCTTTCCCAGACAGGAGCAATTCCTCACTATGTCTGCCACAAGAGTACAGCAATCATCAGGTATGTCTATTACTATTCCTGTTGACAACTGATGGATTTCTGTCTTCAGAACAAACGTTGGCTGTGCTTATGGCAGCAAAGTTCTGCAGCTCAGTTTCATCTACTGCACATTTATCATTTTCCTTGCCCAAACTAGCATTAGCACTTTCTATATAAGGAAGATGCACAAGATTGTGTCTACCAGTGTAAGAATTTATCATAAAGCATCCAAATACCTGGGCAGCTAGCATTTGCAGTTTTATAATTTAAGAGTTGGCCTCACATTTGTAGTATATGAAACCACCACATACCTGAACAGCTATATGGAGCAAGTTATGTCATGATACTAAGTCTCTGTGGTAATTAAGGGTGACACATATGTTAGAAGTGACAGTGTTTCATCATATCAACAAAAACTTAGTCATGCATCAAGACACTTCCACAGTTCAGTGGGAAAGAACTTTTTTTTTTTTTTTTTTAATACTGGAGTAGCCAGGCAGTCTTCAAAATGACAGTCCATGGGACCAAGGAAGGTACAAAAACTGGTGGAAAATGATACGTACAGCTTTTGGAAGCATACCTTAAAACCCTCAGTGAGACTGAGGATTGATGTTGCAAAAAAATGAATTGATAACCTTATAGCACACGCCACATTCTCAAAATCCAGTACAGGAGTGCCCAAGGTAAGCCATCCTCAAAGATGCTGCATTGATAACCAATGTATGGCCAAGGTTTAGGTAAAACAGAGCGTTACTCAACAGCCCACTCCAGTGTGCATTGCTTTCTCCCTGCTAAGGCCACAGATGGATTCTGAGGAAGCTTGACATCAGCGCTGAAGTTGGATACAGCAAATTATAGTTTAGTGGAAGAAACTAGAGGTAGTAGCATTCTACTCATCTGTATTCATAAACAAAAAGATTACCATTAGGATTACAGAACACTTACAGGGAAATCTGAAAAGATATAATAAACAAAGCTGGTAAAACCAAGAATGCTGAGAAAGAACATGTTGAAATACTGCCTTTAAAATCTACTTTCTTCAAGTGGAAACAAAACATTTTAAAAGACAATAATGCTCTAAAAGCTATTTAATTCACCAGCCAAATTGAACTGACCAAAATCTAATTTCTTCCTTGTCTTGTTTAGCAGATGTTTAAAAGATCAATACAGTTGTCTCTGTAGATCGGCATGAAATATTAACGGTCTGAACATTCTGAAGCTTTTTACAACATATTCAGCCTCATTAAACATTAAGCAGGTTTGAAATATAAACATAAAGTAACTATCAGCTTCCTATCCTTCATAGGCAGAACAAAGGTAGTTCAAAAGTGGGAAGCAGGAAGAAAGCTATTACATGAATTGGGAATTCAGAGAGAAGTTAACGTAGGAAAGCTGTCAGTATAAATAGACTCAACCAGATAAATTTTACCATAAGGAAAGATAATATTCTTCTGTCTCACAGACCGCAATATGTGCTAAGGAGCGAAGAACTGTAGTATTTACACCACAAGGAATTCATAAAAATACACCTCTGGCCACAAAAGTACCCATCTGAGGCCCAATCCTCATTTACACTTCACTCTTCATGTTTGCTATTAGACCTCCGACTCCATGGGTTCAGCGAGAAGGAACCTTGTTCACTTTGCCCTGCTTTTCATGACTGGCTGGGCAATACAAGAGAGAGGAGTTTCAGGTTCACTAAAGGGAGATGTCAGCTTTGCAAATCACTGGAAGTAACCGGACATAAACTGTCAAAATAAGTCAGCAAAACGGTGTGGTTATTGTCAGTACGTAACTCAAGTCTGCAAGCCAAACTGTGGCTAAAGATTACAGACAACACAGCGAGATGGCTGCGCCATGATGTGCAGATCAACTCGTTTACCTACAAATGCTGTTCTATTCTAATACCTTTTTCTCCCATTTGCCTGCTTGCCTTATCGTTACTGCAGACATCATTAAGAATAAAATTCAACCACCGCTGTGTTGCCTTTACCACTGCGGATACTGGCAGGGTTTATGGAGAAGCTTTTTAGGTAGCTTTCTCACTGTATTTCTTCTAGTATTGCCTAGACGTAAAGGCATCAGATCAGACATACTAGGGTTAGAATTCTCTACAGCCTCCGCTCAGTTTGGGAAGATGGTAACAGCAAGAAGAGAAACTGTGTAGAATTAATTCCTTGTCAGACATACTAGATTTTCCAAAAAGTACACCAAGCTATTAAGCTGGCACTATTAAGCTCTCTCACACAGCGATGATGGTAGGAATACCATCCAGCAGTCATCATTTCTTACGGTTTCTCCAAATTCAGTTACGCCCAGAGACAAATCAAGTATGTATTTTTAAAACTCTGCAACTTAAGCGAGATACCAGCGGGCTTAAATGAGTATCAAACACAGTTAAGAAATGATACTCAAACAGCACTGAGCTATTTATGCTACATTTTTTCTGAATAGAACTGAAAATAGACTTCTGCATTTCACTGCGTTGCACCATACTGCTGTACTTACTTTACCTATAAGCATTCTGTTAATAGGTATTGACTAGAGCAGCAACAAATCAAGTGTTCTACATTAAAGCACGTGCCAAACCTGCAGACGTGCTTTGAGGAGATGCTCGTGCTATCTATGAAGCTATATTTTAAAATTAAATGTAAATATGTATTTAATGGGAAAAGATTACATGCTTTGTGAGCAAAGCCAGGTTCTGCGCTGTCCCCAACTTGTTCCTAATAAAACATGGAGCAGTTTCAGATGCAAAAAAGCCCTGCATTATTAGAACAACACTCATTCCTTCCTTACTCTGCCTTTTTAAGTTTTTTTTCCTTTCTTTTTTAAATGCACAATGAATGCCTGGAGCTGCCATTCCAGCACAGGTGGTTGTGCAAGGAGTTCTCTCATTTCTTACACAGCCACAGAGGAGCACAAGGAAGCCACAATGTAGCACATAGATGAGGCTGTGTGATGCAGATGGGAAGGCACACCATCCACGTAGCTGTTGTTAAGGAGCACCATGTGCTGTCCTGCTTGCTTCTTAAAACTGAGCGTTTTGCCTAAATTGCAGATCCTGTGGGTTGTTTGGGGAAGGAAGGTAGCATGACAACAGTGTCAAGTATTTCTTTCATACCACAGTACAACAGAGAAAAAAATCAAGTGTGACAGTTTTCTTGCTGAGATTGCCATAGTTCTTATTTCTATAAAAATCTTCCTCCCTCTCAAGTCTGTGCTCATTCATGTGTCATCCTTGCATCTGAGCTTCTGGCGTGTAGGAAACAAGCCAAACAACCGAGTCACCTAAGTGCAGCAAAATTGGCATTGGAGCTTAGGGTAGAATGAGCAGGCACAGAGATGGGGATACATACATGCAGGCAGAAACAGTACTGCAAAGGGAGAGGTGAATTTTACCCATCCTGTTGCTTTCTAATCAGATCTGAAAACTAGCCTGGCATGGACGAAATCTATTTCACTTCTGATGTTCTGTCCCTTTTGGAAAATCGGAGAGATGAAAACTACTGGTGCCACACTTGCTGTAAATACCTACTCATGCAAGGTGTAGCAGTTGGCTTTGATGAAAGCCCTCCATTCCAACAGACACCAAGTGTCTTCTTCACCTTCCAAGTTCCTTCCAGCCTTCAGTCACCAATACCCATGATCTCTCACCTGGATGTTTACAAAAGCTTTATTCCCATCTTTGACCCACAGCACAAACACTTCACTTCCTAAATTCTTTGACAGTATCTTTTGGTTCAACGGTGGTACAGCGCTTAGCACAGTGAAATTGTGCCTCGTGACTTGGATTCCTAAGAGTTACAGTAATATACGTAATAAGACAACCAGTTTTAATTCTATTGGACTAAAACTCATACCTCAAGACCAACAAACCGTGAAAAAACAGCATTATAAAGAGAAAACCAGAACAATATTGCAAAAGCATCAACTCTCAGCTAGTATTAATTGGTATGACTACAAACAATATAATTTATTTCTTATTTTTCAGTGTACTTACACTTGTTTACATCCATGGCCACTGCTTTTAAGGAACTGTAAGCAACCCTCGTGCATAAAAAGAAGCACAGAAAAACATCCCTGTCCAATCTTTTTTGCTGCTGTAAAGGACATGTAATGGATGCAGGCATACTGGCACGTTAAAGACAGATGAGGAAGCAAATCCCTTCGTTGTTTGGAATTAAAAAGAATTTAAAAGGAATATATGTATGCAAATTGCTTTCACTGAGGTCTGTCAAGATCCTGGTAATTTGTTTTTTTTTTTGCACTGTCTGTCAAAGAATAGATAACCTACTGAAGATCAAGAGAAGAACATCTACGCACACATAGCGAGAACACCACTGAAATATGTCAATAGGAATAGGAAAGATCTTTTGGAAAACCATAACAGAAATCTACAAGTCACTGATATGAATTAGTTTCTGAATCAAATATACTAACAGCATAAAGCTCGGTTCTTTATTAAATGACTATTTGATACATAAGTAGTTGGATACAAACATAAGTAGAACATGGATGAACTACTGGCAAAGTCATTTGATCACCCGTTTTTTGATATTCTTATGCTTTTATTTTCAGAAGACATAGTGCAAGATTTGCAAACAGGCTGGAAAAAAACTAATTAGAACTAACTATTATTGAGAAATGTTAATGTGGAACGGGAGACATTTAAAAAACAGCAGCAGAGTTTAAAATATAAGTTCATTCCAGTAAATCAGTGTCAAAATGACAAGAGAAGCCAACATGGCTCAAGACAGATATATGGAACAATACATAAGATAAACAAAAAAGCTTTTGAACCCATCCACAGAATATGAGAAGTGAAAGATTTGATTAAGTATTAAAAGAAAAAGGCTAAGCCAAATGAAACAAAAACAAGAGTGAATCATACAGCTAAAAATCTCTCAACATGAGGGGGGTTTGTTTTGGTTTTGTTTTGTATTATATCAGGATAAAAAGCAAGAATTCAGAATTTGTTCTCCAGAATGACATTTTTCATTAACTAAAAAAAAAAAAAGGTAAATATATTTAAAGAATTAATTTTCAACTGTCCTATGATATATTTGCAATCTACCCCAATACTTCTTACGAGGTAGGTTTTAGGGCTTTTCCCCAACCTCCACAGCTTTAATGTACCAATGGCCTCAGCCCCAGAGCATTCCAAGTGACAGGACAGCAGACAGAAAAGGCAACATGGACCACACCAGTCCTTTCCAGTGACAGCTTTGCCACACATTGCTGGGGCAGAGTGCCTTTAGCAGATGTCTGTCCCTTTACTCTATGACAAAGAGAGAAAAAGTGAAAAAGTGAAAAAGTGAAGCTTATTTCCACAACAGAGCTTTAGGGAATTTAAGAGATCTCTGACAGCACTGTCTTTTGCATGATTTGTCTCAATTAAAGTAAACTTAGGAAACACTTGTAATTTAAAGCTACCAGCACACTGGGTCTTCCATAGATCATCCTCAGTCTTTCCTGCAAGGCTTCCCATAACTTTAAATTTGAACGTAAACCAGTTATATCCTAAAGACTTCAGTGCAATTTTAGACTGAGCTTCCTAGTTTGGTTCCCTAGCTTGGACAGCCAAACTAAGGATGTTTGGCATATCCTGAAAGAATTTCCTCCTTGATCCACTGGTAATTTGTGCAACTTTTTCCTGATGATTTATTTTCCCCATCAGCTGAGGGGTAACAACTGCTCCTTCAATTGAGCCCTACCTGAGTGGCCCATGCAAGGGAGTAAGGGAGTAATTTATGTCCCTTTCTCCTGCAGAGGTACATACTCCCACTTTGGGCCTCTCTTCAGGGCTCAGCTCACAGACCAGACATCAGA